TGTTGGTACCGTTCGTTAACGTGTACTTGAAACTAGAGATCGGAAAGTGTGTGTGACAAGATTGAACCTGAAGGTTGGACCTAACACGTAATAAACGTGCGACCTGAGCTTTGTACCGTGAGTTTGGGTAAACGTTATGGAAAGCTGGTTATTTTTCTTGAATAGCCTGATACGTTTCCACATCCAATTTAGGAAAAGCGATTTCTCACTTGATAAGACACTCGGCAATGAACAATTTGTTAAAGAAAATAACTTGTCTAATAATTTGCTTTATTTCATATAATAAAGAAATAGTATACTAATGCAATAACTTTTAAAAAACGACACTTTCGTTACTGGTTTGTTTAGCCACGAACGTAGTGCACTGGAGGTAGTGTTTAATAAACGAGTGTTTGAAGAGTTTATAAACTTGTTGAATATTATATTTTTTCTACGCCCATAAGTTTTAGGGTACTTTTGGTGCAAACCGGCACGAATACATTTATTGTGTCACGAGACTCTCAGAATTGACAAACGCCAAGATACCTTTGGTCTCAGAAATCTACCGAAAACATCGCTTCCAATCCGGGACAATGGTCAATGAAGCTGACACCTTAAAGTTACCCTTTGCACACGTCTGATCAGTGCATAATTTGGCATCTTTATGTAGGAAGTAGAAAAATGAATACTGGATATGTGTCACAAGAGCAGGAATGAGTTGCCCAGTCTCTGATATAAACAAGAAAAGAATCATGAGTTTAGCTGTATGTGGTAGTAACAGTTGGGTTTTCTTTGTTGGCCTTTATCCCATAATCAAGTAAAGGATCAATAATTTGAGTCGAAATGCAGAGCCAACTGTAATCAGTTAGCTAATGGTCAGTGGTTCTGTATGAGTGCCGGTTTCATCAACCGAAGCTCTACATCCCTTACTTGGATATTTATGAAGGTCAGCAAACCAGAAACTCGTCTGGCACTAAACACAAATGTACACCATCTTAAAATATATTTTTTTTAATCCAGAACGTGACCGTGTTTTAATTTATATCACCTCGATTAAGGATCTAATAAATTTCTCTTACTACGATCCGCGTCGTATCTAATTAAAAACAAACACATAGTTGCGACAGAATTGGAAAATTAAGCGACGAACCATATCCTTAATAGGCATGCATTTTAGTGCGCAATATATTCTACAAATGTGCGACTTTACTCGATAAATGACTAAGGGACCTTATTTTAATTAACATTCGCTCACTAAATATACGCTTGACTTGGGTAGCTCGGTTGTATACTACGGAAAGACAAAGTGATACCAAGAGTAAATTTACTGTAGCACTATGCGATTAAACACTTTGGGAGTCGTTGTTCACTGAAACGGACAAGGGCGACGTATAAATTAAAGTGATTTAGTTTGCATAAGATTTATTTAGGTAGATACGTAGAAAGATAAGGTTTTTGTAGCAGGTGGATTTTAAAATATGGGGGTTGAACTTTTTTATTAAAATGAATTGCTATACCCTTCAAGTATTGGAAATACAATAGTCATAAACTAACTAAGCAACAAATAAAAGGAGTTCTTAAGGACAGGTTTTTCAATCTCTATTAAACTACCTTCACCATTAAGTTAAAGTTTTTTTTAAGTGTTCTTCAATTGTCCGTTAAGAGATAATCAGATCTATTTTTTTTAAATAACAATATTGTTAAAATCTTAAATGATAGCAATATGGATATATAAAATTTTATTCCGTTTCCTTCATATTACTAGTTGTGGTTATTAAATAAGACTTGGTATTGGCGTTATTAATTCGACATACTATATAATTATGCAGTACTCAACGTCGGAGTATGTTACTGGCACTATTCCCAATGGATAGTTGGATATTTCAACTTAACTTCCATTCCGGAACGCGCTCTGTGTGTAACAATCACGTTAAGGCAATTAGAAAATGTGATCATGTAGATTAGCAAGTGATATTAGCTAACAAATATGAGATATGATTGGAAGTTTGAAAAATCTATAAATAAACTGCTGCGGAACACTCGAAATCAAAAAACAAAAACTGTGGACTGTTTCCAGAAGACAGAAAATGACAGGCCGTTAAAGCAGGCACTGAACGGGACATTTGTAGCTCATGTCAAATAAACTTTTAGTCACGTTATCGAGCTCGGCTGGTACAGCATATCTTCCTTTAATCAAAATATTTTATATTGTAAAAGGGTAATCAATTGTTACTTACAATATAAACAATGTTTCAATGCTTGACTTTATAGATATCTATTTAATTTATTAACAACTCGATTTTATTTGTTCATTTGTTAATCATTCCTTTGAATAATAATGAGATGCTATGAATATTTTTTATAACATCGAAAATATTTGATTTACTAAGTCATTGAAATTACTAGAATAACTAGAGTCGTCGTTAATATTAATAATAAGTGGAAGAATCCCTTGATTGTTCACTACTCCCTATTATACCAATCGTAAATTATTGCTTCTGTTTGTGAATTTAACTTTTCCAAATTTCAAATATTCAGATGTTTCTGTGCCACTTACCACATTTTTGTATCGTTTCTTAGAACGCGATTTCAAAACTTGTTTTTTTGATTGCTGTTGAATTAAAAAAATCCTATTTGGTCACACGATATCATTATTGATATGAATTGTCAGTATTATCGAGATCTCTTTTGAAATATTGTAACAAAGATGCGATGAGTTCTTCGCAACGACTATTAAGTTGCTTTGGCACCTTGTACAGGTCGCATTACAAGTTACTATCAAGTTGACAACTATATAATTTTAAGCTTAAAATAGCACAAAATTCATCTAAACACACACATATACACATAATACATCCTACCAAATGCAATTAGTGAACCCGTTACCGAATATTTCGATGGTTGACGATGATGGTTTTAAAGATTATTTGATATGAGTTATATATTGCAATTACAACAGAAAAGTGAGGCAGATTTTACAATAGAAAAAGACAAATACTAATGCTTTTACATTATTATTTGGTTATCAAATATATATATTATAGCATTATAATTAACGCGAAAAGAAAACAATCCGAATTGCTTCAAATAAAAAAAAACATATCAAAAACCATATCGCCGGATGTCGGTGCATTACCGTTTACAGATCCATTCCAGTTCAATTGATTGAGTTCATTGGAACCAGATGATACATACAAAAAATGTTCTTTGTATTTTAGATGCATTGCTATTGTCCTCGTGTTAAAAGTAAATTCAGACGATTTTTGATATCTTTACCAGTTTTTAATATATTAATTTACAATGTGGATATTAATTTCACCTTTTCAACAATCAATTTTATCTATTTTTTCATCTGGTTGAATTAATTTTAATTAACAAAAAACTACTACCGATTGGTATCGGTCAAGTATACTTATACCAAAATAAATTTGTTTTTCTGATATAGACGTCCGAAAAAGTTCAAAAAATGTTGTTTATCCATTTTGAGCATCCAGCAGTTCGCTTTACTGACTCCTAACTCTCTTTTTTAATTTATCTAAAATGCGAAGTTTTATTTCGGTATCAGTGTTAGTACCAAGTAGTGACATTTGTAAAGCGAGTCTTCATGATCTAGTGATAATATCAGACTTATTAGACAGACAATTTAATAATTTTTCGTCGAAATCATAGAGAAATATACTAGAAGAATCAATAACATCTTAATTACTGCTCTAAAATGTCTCATATATCTGTGAGCAGTCATCGCTCTTCCACTACAGCAAATTCTGTGCTGACATTCAATAAAATGACTAACCATACTTCCCATGGTCTAATGTTCCCTAGCAAACCTCAAAGGGGCCCCCTGATGTGCTCTGGTGAGGTGAGACACTGAGACTTAACTTATTACGTACAGTTTGGCTAATTACGCGCATATTTCGCACATTGTTTAGGTATTTTGCGGTTGTCTTAATCGCTTGTGCGGCGAGCTACTTCAAAAACAGGCCTTCTCCTGTTATTTCTAGTTACTCTTTAACTTGTAACAATAATTGACGTAATATCGTATTTTCAGAAATGTTTGCTTCTGCTTTCCGTAGGATCTGGACATTCTACATGAACAAAGGTTTTTTTTTTTAAACTAGAATTAAGTTACTTGGTTATAAGACTTGTGTTGCTTTCACCAGTCTTGGTAAAATTTGTGTTGCTTGTTATCGTTTTCCTGGGCAGCAAAACATATGTCGTTTTTTATAGTTTGCGTTCATACAATACAAACATTTTTTCTTCTCATTGGAATAATAAATTTGTTAACTTCATTAATATTTCCCTCGGTACAATATGAAACAGTACAGGTGTAGCACGCTTTATGAATATAAAATTTGCACATGATTTATCGCCAACCGGCGTTTTTCTAGTTTCCTGCAAATGGTTCCCCGAGGTATTAGTCGGAAGTTTTTATTGTACTTTTGCGACTTGTCCGCCGAAACGCAATCCTGGCCCCGTTCTTAAGGCAAAAATGTTTTTTTTCTTCTAGAGAATGGAATGAACAGCAGTGCGCAAACTTTCAAGTAAACAATTTTGTTAGGGGATGATTAGCTTTAAGTTACGTTTAAATTAAGTATATGGATAGAGAAAACGAGTCGACTACCCAAAATATCATGGGAGTATTAAAAAAATGTTACAGTTTGTGCCACTGGGCCACAAAACTCTTCCGTGTACGATTATTTTTAATAAATCACAAATTACCTTGTTTCCTATCTAGAATATTGACGTGTACATAAACTCTGGGAATCGAAAAACAAATGCTGCACATGGTACATTTGGAGAAAACAAACAATACTTAGGAAAATATGACCTAGTTTTTTCTTGTTACGTAATTTCGTTTAAATGGTTATATTCTTAATTCACAATTGTAATTTATATGATTAATTCGTAATTTTAAAATACTCTTACTCAGCTCATTTGCAACTTAGTACACGGAATGTAATTAATCTGTTAATTTAATGTGGTGTTTTTTATTTTTTGACTTTTCGTTTACCTTCTTTTAGGGCTAAGTCGGATGAAAAGGCAAGAAGATTCTGAGGGCCGGTCAGATAGTGAAAATGAAGTAGAACCTCTCATAATCGATCGAGGTCCTTACTTTGACAAAAACGTTTCGAAAAATGTTACAGCTTTAGTGGGCAAAACCGCTTACTTGGGCTGTAAAGTAAGGAATCTTGGCAATCGAACTGTAAGTATACATAATGAAAGTTTTTTGAAATATATCCTCAATTTCTTGGTTTTCTTAGCTTCTCGTATATGCGACTGACAGAGTTTGAAATCCAGGATTGTATAGAATAAATTACGTATTTTATAGAATACACAACACTGACAGACATTTTATGAAATGGACTATATTATATACACATCTTAGGTCTTTTTTAAAATACCGATTTAATAATTGATAATATATCGAATATTATGGGTAAATTTAACAGAATATGCTTATTATACTACTAGCTAGCTCCCTCAGGTAAACGGAAAAGTAGTTGATTTGTTTAATGTTAATTCGCCCTGACCTTTCATATATTCTATACGGTAAGTTCATATAGCTACCAGAGAGATCCTGGCTATGCTGATAATATAGGAACTTGTGAAGCAACTGTGTAACAAGGTCCATTCAACATTCGCATGCGCGAGATTCAAAATTTCGTTTTTAACCAATGTTATGATCTTGCGTCATTTAACAACCAACACGGCCTCGACAGAACATCAATAAATTTGGATGCGGGATTTTTGCGGCAGTATTTTCTAAAAATATGTCCAGATGCTATTAAATCTCAGGGCACAATGGAGCGAAGTGTGTGGATATCGCTGTTTGGAAAGAAAATGGCGCTGTGTGTTGGTTAGTGCGTGAAATGTAGAGCGCGGAAGATTATTTCCATCTCTACTAAAATATTATAGCCCCCTGAGGTACATCCATTTTTACTGTAATAGGTCCACTATATTATCTAATAGTTATATCCTCTGACTCACTGTACCTATTATCAGTAAAACTCGATTTCAGGCCAAAGTTTGTCCTAGGCCAATTCAATCTCCTTATACGAAACGAGAAAAGCAACAAATGTTTTTCCAACTCGAAAAGTAAATGGGGTGACAGGTTTGAATAGTTTTTGCTTCTTTCCTTCAAATTGACCAATCGATCCTTACTTATCCACCATCAAACGAGAATCCCTAACTTTAACTCTTATTTCACAGGTTTTCTAATATCACAGGACATTGTATAAAGTTCGTGCTAGGGTTGAAAAAAGAACTCAATTTTTAACTCTACAAGCGTTCATAAATACTTAAACTCTTAGAGAGATAATCACTATTAATTACTAAATTATATAGCGTGTTTTATATTTTATTTTTCCAAATTAACATAAAATAATTAACGCGATTATTTCACGAGAATCTTTAAAATAATTAGTAATTTAAATAAAAGTTACTTGTGATCTTTCTGGGCTGGGATATTTAAGTTGAATTAAAATACGAGGTAATTAAATGAAATCTAGCTAAGGATTTGATTATTGGATAGATTAGCAACTTGTGAAGGCTTTATAGAAACGAGATTACAACAATAAAATCGGCAATTAAATGGATTGCAGTGAATACAATACGTTTCCTAACCTCCCTGAAGGAAGGAAGAGAATTCTTACCTAATTTTACGATGAAAATGTAATATAATAGTATATTATGCAACAAGTGACACGAGCGGAGCGAGTTTTTAATAAACGAGTAAGTTAAAAAGTTTACCGAACGTGTTGCATACTATACTTTTTCTACGACCGCTATTTTTTGGGTCAATTTTCGCAAAACAACACGAATACATTCACTGACTTGACCGTCAGAATTGACAAACGTCAAAATTCAAAGCGTGGGAAATATCTCCTAAAACGTCCGATTGCTCCCAAATCCGTTCGGTAAAATCCCGGATATGTCCGGAGTGGCTCGGATTCATGGGAAACGAAACCGATGTGGTAAAGTGATGCTTTCCGCACGCTAGATCGGTGGGTAATTAGGTATTTTACAGACGGGAGTAGAAAAATTTTTTTGGAATGTCGTTTTGTTTTCGAAATACAGGGCGATGAAAAAATAAAAGTTTATTTGGTTTACTATTATTAAAGGCGGCAACTGGTATTACTTTGTGCTCATTTTAAACGTTTTAATTAGTTCACTGGCGGAGATATAGTTAAATTAAACAAATTTGCCACACTTTTAGAGATACTGTAAAAACCACATATGATTCCTTTGAACTTTCCTTAGAAATTTAGAATAGATAATACTTGGCAGAAATACAAAAAACATCAAAATAAGTACATGAGACATGTCATGTCATGAAATGACCCTTTAGATTTCAAATCGCCATATTTATTGTAAACTTGGCAGTATTGCTGCATTTTTGCTATCGACCTTTGCAATATCACTATCCAAAAACACCTTTTTGACATTCAACACACATTCCCACAGAAAATAATCAAAATCAATTCAAATGGATGTTCAAAACTCCCTCACTTTGTCGTGAGCGTTTATTCTAACGTGTCACATTAAAAAAAGACATTTCTTTCAAACCATATCTATATTGTTAAAAAAAGAACTATTTGTTATTTAACAAATATTAAACAAAATATTAGCAAGACATATAGTTAACGTATATTGAGTTAAGTTTCTAATTTATCTATGCATTTGAATATATAAATAATTTTTATGTGTATAGTGTATCGCTATTAAGGCTGAACATTTCAGATTTTGGTAACTTCTACTGATTGCTGAGAACCGAAACTTTGGCCATAAGTCTTTCATAAGTGAAATTGCAGTCTATAATGCGCGGTGTTTTCGAAGCGAGCAGTTTTAAATAAATGGCTTTAGATAGTTATGCCAACTTTTTAGCACTATCTAAAGTTTTTTAAACTAATTTTTTTCTTTCATCTTATTGTAAAAAAATTCGAGACTCCTCGAGACTGAACCGAACTGACGATTTCCTTAACGTATGTGACACATTAAGTCATAATCCTCAACCTTTATATTCCACTTCCTAACCTGCTACATCCACTGGAAGAGACAAGAAACCTCAACATAACGTAACGAAGCCACAATACAATTAACGTTTGGCAAAACCTTAGGCAAAGTTTTACTACGCTTGAAATGAACCGTCCTAAAGTAAAAGTTAATCCGAAAAAGTTAAACGGAACTCATGGGAGCCATTTTTCCTGGACAGAACAAGCACACATTCTGTTATCCGGGGAAATAACTAGGACGTTTGTTTGTAGAATTTAAAGAAAGTTTAAAATTTTAATTAGGCGAAGCTTGAAATTGCGGTTTTAAAAATATTTCGTTTTTGAGATCTGTGGTAGAATACTTTTCAAATTTATTTTTATGTTACATAGGTTTTCTCATAAACCCTAAAAGAGGTAAGGTTATTTTTTGAATGAAATCCTTTGTATTTTATATGAGTTCGTCCAATACTCCACAATGGGGCGCTTCATTTTCCAAATTAATGTTAATTTGTTGATTAGGAGTTTCACATACGATAAATTTTAAAAACGAATTAAGCAAGATTTTATAGAAATTAGGCGAATTTTAAAAATGAAACTCTAATGAGTAGGAAACCAAAATTTCAAATTGCTAAATAATTGCGAATGGAATAAATATAATGAAAATAATAATATATACTGTATTATATATGTCAGAAACAATTTGACATTTACTTGCAGTCAACGTATTTTAGTGGGATATTGATATAAAATAGTGACATGTGACAAGTGTGGTAAACGGTAAAACGTTTTCCAAAACTATACTTTTTCTACGGCCATTAGTTTTTGCAAAACATGACGGTTACATTCTCATTTGATTAAAAACTAAATGAGATACATTTTTTATATAAGCGAAATGATACATATTTTTTATACCATTATCCATTATATCTCAAGTAACGACAACACAAAAGTCATGAGCAAATAGCTTTTGGTGAAATAATATTTTTACCAACTACTAATGCTAAAATTTTATTTTTGTGCCCAATACATTTACATCAAGGTTATTTAGAGTTTAAAATTTAGATAAATCTTTCAATTTTATGGGAATAGTAATGCTGTCATATATCAACACTGGCCTAAAATGGGTACATGATGATGTTGGATTTACATGTGACCATAAGAAACAATGGTTATCTTCAATTTTAATATTAATAACACTTTTGTTATTTTTAATAAATGTTGGTAAATCAACATAAGTTGATGTATGTAACAATTAACGAAGAATAGAGCAAATATCGAATTTTTCTTTCAACGCTCTGAGGTTTAAATGGAGTACAGGATTTCAGCTTTAATTAAAAAACTTTTAAATGCATTTTTGAAAAAGATTGTTGCATCCTTAATTTTTGTTTATTATTTGACCCATTTTTATTCTATCATTAAAATCAGATTCTAAATCCTGCCACACAAGTCGCAAGAATGTTTAAATTATAGACAAGTATGGAATGTCTTCAACACGTTCAATTTACGCATAATATATTTCTTTAATAACAATATATTTTTTGTAATATGTATGTCCATGTTATGTTTAGATTTAATTAACGGACTCGTTTTTTCTATTCTATAACTAAGGGTTATAATAAAAAGAGAAAGAATTAGAATTTCATTTTTCCGAAGTTTTTATTTTATTTATGTTATGTTACGAAGTATATTTTAAGAATCTTTAATTTCTCTATTAATATTTTGCCAAATATGCATAAAAAATGCGTTTTTCTACTCCCATCTATAAAATGCCTAATAACGCACCGATCTAGCGTGCGGGAAGCGTCACTTTACCAGGTCAGTTTCGTTTCTCACGAATCCGAGCCCCTTCGAACATTTCCGGGATTTTACCGCACGGGTTTGGGAGAAATCGGATGTTTCCGGAGATATTTCCCATGCTTTGAATTTTGACGTTTGTCAATTCTGACGGTCAGGTCAGTGAATGTATTCCAGTTGTTTTGCGAAAAGGTACCCAAAAACTAACTTTCGTAGAAAAAGTATAGTATGCAACACGTTCGGTAGACTTTTTAAATCACTCGTTTATTAAACACTCGCTCCGCTCGTGTCAAATAAACCCGTGAGTCAAATGCCGTTTACCACACTTGTTGCATGATATACTATTATCTCGTTTATACTTATAATTAATCGGCTTGGTTATCAGATACTTCGTACAAAATCGTCCGATAAGAAATCG